CTGAAATGGTATAGTGGAGCAATGGTGAAATAGACAGGGGATGCCATGGCAGTGGACTAGGCCTCACCTTGGAGATGCTCAATGGTTCATCATTTTCACTCTGTATCAGTGATATCTGATTTTTATGTATAGTCTGTATTACTATCAGGATAATCCTCATCACTATCTGGATTATTGACGTCGTTTTCCATTAGTTACTTGTCTATTTCCTCCAATGCAAGTGACGGCGTTGGGCGAGTCACATGACACTGCTGTGAGCCAAACCCATGTGTGCCACTCATGGTTTCTGTATACAAGCTGAGGCCTACCCACTCAGGCCTCAGATATGAAGAAATTTATTTCATCCTTTTTGCAGAGCCAGTACACAGAGACTGAGACCATTTTTTCCTTGTATTATTAGTCATGTTGGCACATTTTCTGTGTGTGGCTGCTGAACAGAGTTGGCACTGAAAGCTCTGTTGGTAATCTACCTTCATGTGGCATTCTATGCATGTTTTTATCAAAGACATTTTTGCTGAATATATCTGTTCAATGGTGGTGGTGCTGCCAAGGTGGGGGTGGGAACCGGTGGGAGGAGACAGTATGATTGAGCAGTGCTGCTACCTCGTGTCGCACTCTTAATTTTTGTTTTGTTCACCTGTTAGAATACATTGCTTGCATTTCCCCCTAGTTATCTTACAGTGGAGGCATCTAGTTTGTGTGTCTGGGCACTAGTAACCTGGGTACATTACACTTATTGGAAGCACATTATGGGTTATCTTGAGATGATTTCGGGGCTTTAGTGTCCCCGCGGCCTGGTCCTCAACCAGGCCTCCACCCCCAGGAAGCATCCCGTGACAGCTGACTAACACCCAGGTACCTATATTACTGCTAGGTGACAGGGGCATAGGGTGAAAGAAACTCTGCCCATTGTTTCTCGCCGGTGCCCGGGATCGAACCCGGGACCACAGGATCACAAGTCCAGTGTGCTGGCCGACCGGCTCCCTGGGTCTCTACACTTGCACTTACACTGGGACTGGGTCCCTACACTTGCACCAGAGGTGGTACTCCCTTTTAGGTTTTATATATATACATATGTACAGATATATGTTTATAAATATATGTATAAATATATGCACACCATCTATTTATTTATACTAAGATTATATATATAATATATATATTTTAGTATGAATAAATACATGGTGTGCATATATTTATACACATATATCTGTACATATGTATATTTTAAGTTACACATAATGAACACTATCTATGACACAAAGATACAACTTGTTAGAGGGAAAAACTAAATAATAAAGTGAGAAACATTGAAAAATAAATCTGCAGAGTTATTCCCATGAGACAACTCTCCTCATTATTCAAAAAACAAAAACAAAAAGAATTCTTTAGGCCACTACAGCTAAACTACAAGAGATAGAGACTTTTTACTTGAATTTTTGTGCTTCCTGGGTGCTAATTAACAATATCAAAAGAAAAAATACTGTTATGGGAAAAATATATTTTCAACACACCACAGAAATATCATTATGAAAGGTGCTAAGCACAGGGGTTAAATGCAGTGGCGGTATTCAAGGAGCAGTTAAATTTGTGGAAGGAATTGAAGGTATAGAAATCAAGAGGTGAATTGACAATGTTGGTAAAGGGCCAATGTTTATCTGGGATCTGTGTGTGCGATGTACAGCCCACTAGACATGGATATTTTTCAACCAAAATTGGAAGTCTGGATCTAGACAGGCTAACTGCTGATCATTAATGTATTTAGCCCACCGGTTAGCAATTCTAGAACATAACAGAAACTTGATGGAATGCAATACAGAATGCTGATCAAGATCAGACTGGATTGTTGGGAGTTGATGACTAATTTTGCATTTACCGTATAGACTGGGAAGCTTATGAGGCAAGGACAAAGGATTTGTTAAACTTTATTTGGGGAGGTATTTAAGCATTAACATATGACTCAGGCCAAGAGATCATGGAGTATTCCAGAAATGTTGGGCCATGCATTCACCAGGAAATAGGAAACCTGTCTTTGATAAAAACAATAAATATGTTTTGCTGATTATTAAATATGACATTCAGCATGACATTAAATTACCTACAGAATGGAGGATCATAGAGAAACCAGACTTTAAACAAAAAGGACTCCATGGGAACTTGCATGAATTCTTTGTATTCACTTGGATGGATTCCTGAATTTAAAGGTTGCATTGGTCTATAGCTAAAATGCTTCTGAAACAAATGAAATCAATCTTGACTAATTCTATGTTTTGTCATCAATTCCATTTGCTTGTCCAGCCCATATGAGGAAACTTGCAACCTGAAGCAGCTTTTGAGGTGCATAAACTACGACCAACCTCAGTGGCAGCTCTATGGCAATTTGAAGGTTGTTGCTTTTGTGAGGGGTCTGTAGGGTGGATACTCTTAAGTTCTGCTACTTTTTTGTGAGTGGAATAGTCTTGTGAGAGTGTGCCACTATTGCATGATAAACAGTTCATTTTATCTCAGATGTAGACAATTTTGAAGAATTATTGATCAGTGTTATAGATGTGATGTATGTGAACTATTAAATTGAGTTAGAACAGAGGCATCTTTTTACAACTGCAGAAAGACACACAAGGATGAAATAATTAATTCAACAGGAATTACAAAAGAGCCAAGAATGAAAAGAAGAAACCATTATTGAAATGGGTATGAAAGGATCTTTGAAAAAACGGCTAGTTACAAATATTAAACAGACCCCAGTCTAATCTAGAAATATATTTAGAGTAAACTATATGCAAAGGATAAAATTCAGAAATTACAGAGGAATTCAGTTTCTTTCTACCTCAAGTATCATAGGGGAAGTTAAATCAATAAAGCATGTTAAAATTCACCAAATCTGAAGAGTTTTGCTGGAAGTATATGGCAGAAAGCCTCCAGCGACCCAGGCTTTGTCATTGAAGCTGCAATGCCAACACCCAGACATGCCTTTGTTGGCATGATGCCTTTGTTCATATAATTACGCACCACGTACCCACCAGACACCTGTAATTGGCAAAGTTCCGAAGGTTATGGACACGAGGATACGCCTGTGGTTGACTTGGCTTGAACATACTGTATAGCAACTGGAAGACTAGTGCACCACCATGGTACTGGGATTGCAAAATAAAGGTTCATACTGAAAATGTCAAGAGACAAGAAAGTAACAGACACAGAACTGACATCGGCCAGAGTACATAGTAAACAATCGAATGAACAAATCAGGGCCAAACCAAAATACGGTCCCTCCCACAGGCCAAATTGCAAATATCATTCAGTACCTTCAGTAAAGCCAATACTGTAGAGGAGTTGTGTAACATGATAAAACCATTATTTACCTTGTCAAATGCAAAACTTATAGTAATAATTCAACAATGGCAGTGATGTACACAATGCCCTATAGTATTTAATATCTTAATAATGTATTAAAAGCATAGAATTGTACAACTTCTAAAAATTGTAAACCAATAGTAACACCTCAGAAAATTGAATGATGCCACACTCATGTTCAAAGAAAACATTAAAGGAAAGTGTATAGTATCTGTAGCCATCAAACACAATAACACAGAAAGAATAAGGGAAATTTCAGCATTACATTTCTTCTTGCTAAACTGTTATTAGAAAATAAAAAATAGTTCAATGCTCCTTGTGTCTGGCCTTACTCCCACCTTCACCTCTCATAAACTGATTATGAAGAGAGAATAATATTGAAAGGGCATTGTATGAGTCAGAAGTTGTTGAAGGATATACCGTAATAGCAAATGAGAGTGTGATTGCTTTGACTTCCTCACAGGACTTGTTTAAAAAAGTTACACTTTTTAATGCAGCACCTTGTAATATTAATGGTACAAAAATAATCTCTATTCATTTCTGAGCCCATCATTTCTTTTATTTGCATGGGGCTTAGACTATTTGTAGGGCACTGACCCAACTGCTATTCATTGCTGTGATTATCATAAATATTGTCTTCTTCCATCATAGTTTTGTACTATACATAGAATGTGACTGGTGGTTGCATTACATAAGATAAGGGTTTTCCTAGAGTTTAAATTCTATAAAGTCAAGGATTACACACTAACATTTTTAAATGTGCAAAGTGGCTTCTTCATGTAATTTTCATATAGTAATTGCTCCAAGATGTTTTTTTGATGAGTTAATGAACCCGATGAACTTCCATTCTTGAGTTATCATGGTGATCCTAAAACATATTGCATATTTATGTCTTGTCGGAATTTATAAAACATTTGTCAGCAAATTCCATATTTGTTTGGTTCTACTCATAAGTGAAACAGTGGCCACTTTCTTACATTGAAACCAATATTGGCAAAAATGAGGACTGCCATGGTAAGCATACACAAGTACAAAATGTAGAATGCATGTTTTTAAATCCAATTAATGCACAAGAAAGAGAAATAAAGTCAGAGGAATGGAGAACATATATAATGATTGGCAAGGGAAATGATAATATGAAGGAAGTGGCAATTATCACAAGGTGGCCCTGCAAAGTATATGTCTAAATTCTATAGAGATAGACTTTTGATTTGCAAGGGAGTAAAATACAGTAGCTACAGTTTGGCACATCTTCCACTTATGTGAAAAGCTCAACAACTAGCAAATTATAATACAACTCTACACATGCATTATATTCTGGTATGGATTTAAGTATGGAAATTTATTGTTATTTGTTTTTACATTAGCAAATTTTTTGTTATAAAGATTGTGCAGAACGTTGTAATATAGTTTATTGTGATGAACTTTGAGTTTTTATGTTTCTTTTTAAAATAATTTTAATTAGATCTACGCAAAAAGAATATCAGAGTATCTTTTCAGACCATCATACACTTTAGTAAACATTATATAATTATTATCAGTCTGTTAGATTTTATGTCAATATTACTTGCTGTAGCATAGTGAGATTTATGTACAACAACGAGTCAACCAATAAATACGAAGACGACTTCTCCCCTGGTCCCTGGCAGATTGCCCAGAAGCTGGCAGCAAGATATTCGGGGCTCAAGGACTCAAAGGTGCTATCCCTGACTACCAGTGACTCACGGAAGGTGAGTCACTTCCACAAGAACCTAAAGCAGTCCCCCGGCAAGAAGCTGCAGGAGTTGCAGGTGAGAGTGGTGCAACTCATTATGGTGTGATGGTGCTGGTAAAGGGAGCAGAAGTTGGTTCACATAATAACACACTTGTACATTTGTATTTTACTTATTATAACACAGTTGAACTTTTGTAAAAAGAAAAAGTATTTTAACCTAAAGCTGAAAGATTGTTTTAATAAACAAACCATTCTAATAACTGTAGTGTGTTATAATTACCAGGGTCGGCCTTAAACCATAAGGTGTCTCGTTGAGAGATTTATGAGGGGATCCCAGTCCTAAGTCATGGATATATTGTTTGCTCTCTCTTGATTCTCAAGAACTTTCCAGGCAGCAGTTATGTTCTTGTGATAACATAAATATGCAGAGTTTGTACAAAAAAAAAATCATTTCACTAATGCCATGTGCTTGATCTAGGATTTTATATATAGTTTCTGTGGGAGAATCCTGTCGGCTCCCTGGAGCTATTGGACTGATATTAGCTAATATTAGTATGGGGCTTCAGTCATATGGAGTTGTCATGCCTACCAGGACCCCACAAGCCAGAACATGGTCCCCTCAGAGAGGTGCAGGGAGCAGTGGCCTATGAAACTCATGTATGACAGTATTCATGTCTGCCTTCGGCCTGTTGAGCACCCAGAAAGGTAGGCTCTCTAAAACAGACCCCTCCTGATAGAAAAATTCTTCCTGATAAAAAAAAAAACGAACAGAAGATAGAAACTCCCCCATGGAAAACAAGCTAACAAGCAACATTTCATCACACTGCGTGCCGACCCCCCCTCCCCGTCCCCGCCCCTGGAGGGGAAGAGGAGGGGTCCTGCCATCCCTAGCCAGCAGCCGGACCATTAGTTTGTCAACTGAAGCTAAACAGGGCAGATGTGAACTCTGGTCTCAGTTGCCTAACAGGCTTTTCACCCTGGTGGTAGTTCCTGCTGTTTGTTGGTGCGGTGGCCAGGAGTTTGGTACCAAGGGCTGCATGCGTCTCACCTCTGGCCTCGGGTTACCTGATTGGCTTCACCCTGCTGGTGTTCCTTCTGTGTGTTGACAGTGGCCAGGAGTTTGTACCAAGGGCTGCATGCACTTAGGGCTCCCTTCGCTAGGTGCCCTGTGAATTCACCCCTTGGGGTTCAGAGTTCCCTTCTCTAGGTCCTTTGCGTCCCCATTCCCATATGGGTAGTGACTGCTTAGCTTCTCCTCGCTCTTGGGGTCAGCTTAGGTCCTGGTACAGTGCTTTCGTTTGGCCCTGGGTAGAGAGTGGTGGTTTGCTGGTTGGGGAGCACTGGGCTGCCCAGCTTGCATAATCGCAGTGGCCGTGATTCTTTCTGGTCCCATGGGTTGTGGTGCTTCCTTGGAGTTCTCTTTCATTCTTTAGTTTGCTTTATTGCCCGTTGGGAGGCCACCATGGTCCATATTAGGTGATACCTAGGTTCAGTAGGGTAGACCTCCTCTGGGCCTCCGGGGTTGCTAACCTCACAGGGACCAGTTTGCCCAGATAACATATGGGGTTACAACTGGCTTGGCAACACCAGTGTCTGGGCTTTCCGTTGGGATACATTTCCCTGCAGGCCCTGGAAAGCCTCGTCAGGGTTTGGTTGACCGATGGACATGTCCTCCGAGTTCCATCTTGCCTTGTGCGAGTTTGAAGTTTGTTCATTGCCCCTGTCTCAGGGTGACAATCACCTGTTCTGCCTCATGTCATACTGCTTGTTGGGTCAACCGACACCTTCGGCCCGGAGTTGTGCAGGTCTTGTTCCCCGCTCCCTCTACAGTTTCCCCCATTCTTCTTTGAGAGATCTTAGGGGTCAGCGGTTGTCGCGTTGCATAGTAGGCTTGGGTAGTTGCAACATGCTAGGTTGGTCAGCCGTTCGAATGCCCCGTTTGGTTAGGCTGGACTTGGGGGCGTTGGGTGCTTTGGCTGGGGTTCAGTTACCGCCCTTGAGTCCTTCCCTTGTTGGCATGGTTCGCCTTGCTCCTTTCCCTCCCTGCTCCCGGCTCTCAAATGTCTGAAGGGTTCAGAGTCGGGGCCAGGTTTAGTTGTGGGATGAGACTCGGGCAGCCTCAGGGGCTGCCCCATTCAATGTGGGAACGGAGGCTTTTGAGTATGTCCCTTCCGCCAAGGCTTCTGGGTCTTCCCAGCAGGGCCCCCTTCTTTGAGGCTTTTTCCTTGGACTCTGCCTTTTCTTCAAGGGTGGGGGGGGGGTGGAGGTAGGCTCTGCCCTGGAGCCTCTTCTGGGGGATTTCAGGGCTTGGGGGCAGGAGCCCGCTTGGTGTGCTTGGGCTTCACTTGCTCCCGCTTGGACCTTTGTGCTTCTGAGCAGGGGGCTTGCTGCGTGGGAGGGTATTTTGATTCCCTCCTTTCCTTCAGCTTTAGTTTTGCCATATTTGCTGGGGTATGTATTTTCGATCTCAATTGGTCTGCAGTAGCGCTGTTTATGTTGGCGGCCATGTTCCTATCCTGTTTGCGTGCCAAGGTGGCACTCCATGTTGTGTTTACTTTTGTGGCCTGGGTGTTTGGGTTCACTTGGGTGCATTTTTAATGTGTTTTTGTGCTCTGGGGCCCTCAAGATGTCTCTGTCACTCCCTCTTATCTGATTTTCCTCTGGTGGGTTTTGTGCCTCGTGCCTCCTTGTAACCCGGTTCTGTGTTGGCTCTGGTTTTTGTTTGAGTTTGGTTTCTCTTACACTAATTGGTTGCGATCTTCTGTTCCTGTGTTTTCCTGGCTGGTGGGTGTGGGCTCCCTGCCGGTCCGCAGTTCTGCTTGGCCGGGTTCAAGCTCCTGGTCGGTCGGTGAAAGTCCTGGTTACAGTAGTTTTGTCCTGGGTTCGGACTTGGCTGTGCCTTGGTTGGGATTCTCGGATGATGTTCATGTCTCTTACCCCCTGCGGCGTTGCTTTGGCTGCGGTCCTGCCTTTGGCTGTTTTTGAGGGGGTCTTGGGTTACTCGGTGTTTGCTTGAGCGGTCGTATGGGAGTTGAATTTCGCCTGGCTCTTTTACCCGCAGGGTTGGGTTTGGCTTTGGCGTTTGTTTTGGTTCCTTTGGGGCCGTCCCTTCCACTGGTCTCATGAGTGCGAGTGTCCTTCAGATACCTTGCGTTGGTTGCTGTGTCTCTGGCTTCCTCTTTGGGTTTCAGTGTTCGGCGCCTTGGTGCCTCCTGTAACCCTCGCTTGGTGTGTTCGAGGGTGCCTCTTCTGGCTGGGGTTTTGTGTCCAGTGCTCCCCTAGCCATCCAGGGGCAGTGGGCTCTGTCGGGCTCACTGGAAGGTGCAGGAGTTCGGGGTGGTTTGGCTTTTGCTACTTTGGATTCGGCTTCGTCGAGGCTCTATGACCCGGCTCCATTCAAACTGCACTCTAGTGGTTCATTCCCTGACCCGCGGAGGGTCTCTGCAGTCCGTGGCTCTTTGGGGCTGGTCGCTTTGAATGGCTCTTCTGCTGAGTTCCCGGGGTTTACCTGTCCATGCGATTCATATCTGGGGCGTGTCCAACATCCTGGTGGACGGCCTGTCACAGTTCATTCCTGTCCATGAAATGAACTTCAACACTTACCCGTTCAGTTGGCTCTGCCGGAGGTGGACTTCTTCGTGTCGACGTGGTCGAGGCATCTCCCCATCTATGTGGCACCCTTCCCCGATTGTAAGGCCGTCGCGGTAGATGCTTTTCGGCAGGACTGCTCGAGATGGGGTTACCTGTACCACTTTTCCCTGGTTCAGCTGTTGCTTTGGGGTTTAGCTCAGCTCGAGTCCTATTGGAGAAGCATTCTCCTTTTGGCCCCATGGTTGCCGGCCCAGCCTTGGTTTCAGGTGCTGCTTACTCGGTGTCCGAACCAGGGGCATTTTCCACGGCTCTGCCCTTTTTCAGCAGATTGGGCTAGTGAGGTACCTTGCTGTTTTGCTCTACTCTTCTGTGCTTTGTGTCTGGAGTTTCTGACACGTGTGTATCACCATCTGTATGGTGACCAGGTGGCTTCTCTTATGGTGTCCCACCTGTGGTCTTCTTCTTGGCGTCAGTATGAAGTCTCTTCACGGTCTTTTCGCCACTTCCTTTCCCTGTGTAGGTTGTTTTTGGTTTCATATTGAAACTCTATTTTCTGTGTAGAACCCCGGAGGCTCCCTGGCACCCTCCCTTCCCCCGGTCGGCGTTTTTTTGTTTCTGTTTTCAGTCTCCTAAATAAAGGTCCGGCTGCAGGCTCTGTGGGTCGGGACCCCCCCTCTTCCCCTTTGAGGGGGGGTGGGTGGTGCGATCGAGCAACACACTGTGTGATGACATGTTGCTTGTTAGCTTGTTTTCCTTGTTGGGAGTTTCTGTCTCGGGTTGCAATTTTTCTACCAGGAGTGGTCTGTTTTGGAGTGTCTACCTTTGTGGGTGCTCAACCCCAGTCGATGGCAGACATGAATAATTTCATACATGATAGTTTCATAGGCCATTGCTCCCCACGCCTCTCTGAGGGGGACCACATTCTGGCTAGTGGTTCCCGGTAGGCAGTACAACTCCACACGATTGAAGCCCCATACTAATATTAGCTAATATCAGTCCAATAGCTCCAGGGAGCCTCCGGGGCTCTACCCACAAGATGGCAATTCATTACATTTGATGCTGTTTTTTTATATTTATTTTAAAATTTCCTGCCACTTACAAAGTGGAAAATAATTTCTTGTCATTGGCCTTCTAGACCATGTAAAATGAGAAAGGTTAATTTACATTTTTCAAAACTTGAAATACCACAAAACCAAACATTAGTGGGGCAACGAGAGCATTTGTTATAGAATTTTATCAGTGTTGAACACACTAGCATTTAAAGGGGAATCCATAGTGATCACAAATGGCATAAAAAATATAGAGAATAATACTGGTAAAACATCATTTGGTATTCTGACCAGTTTTACATAGCTAATAATCTTGAATTGATTTTGGAAAACACTGCCTTTGTGGTCAGTTTCTGACTGGATATCATGGTGTAGATGCTTGCATCAATGGCATAGAATTGCTAAATTGTGTTCTTTAAGATAAAAGACATCCACA